GCAGCCTCAGCCGTCACATCAGGATAGAGGGTGGGTATGGGGGCAGCTATGGGGCTGAGGCAGCAACCTCCCTGTGGGAGGTGATGGGGGAAAGGGAGGCTCCATCTCTCTGAGATATGCTGAGCCTGCTCCGGGGAGGTTGGGGGATGCAGGTCCCATGAATGTGACTTTCTTACAGCTGATCCCAGCTAGGGACATGAGAACCCACCCCATGGGTGGGTTTCCCTGAACCCTGAGGCATGACTTGTGTCCTCTCCTCTCTGTGTCACTGGTACTTTTCAACAGTCCAGGCTGTGATGCAGCATCTGTGGGGTATCAGGGACCAGAAACCACCCAACCTGAGCCTATGTCACCCTCCCTCTGGGGCTCACGCTGTGCCCAGGGCCCAGGATCAGTTTCTAGTGTACAGATAGTATCACAGACTTTGGGGTAACCATGGAGATTAATGACCAACGGTTCCCAGAAAGAAAGTCTTAGTTTGTGACTAGATAGGAGTTTGGATATTCAAAGGTTTAGCCTGGTTCTCCTTTGTCCCCATAGCCTCCTTGACACCACTCACCTCTAGGGACAGGGTCAGGCTGACCATCACTGTTAGAGCTGATTACAACCCAATGACACCATGAACTCCCATCCCTGGGAGAGTGACACAGGGATCTATCCCTCAGGTTCTCCCTCAAATCCATCCCTCCCCTGTCCCTACCTTATTCCAACATCTGCTCAGGCTGTGGCTTCTGCTGTCACTGCTCCCAGAAAGCCTGAAGCTCTTACCTTGGCTCATCCTCCTGGGGTCAATGAGAACCCCACCTTCCCTCACTGGCTTCCCTGTGCAAGTAGATCCTTTGTCTCCAGAGGCTATAAGAGCCCTCCACATGTGGGAGGGGTATAGTGAGGAAGAGAAATGCAGCTGAGGTGACATGACACACCCAGGGTCCCTCCACCCAGCCCCCTAGATGTTACCTTCACCTGGCCTGGGCTTTGTGAATCATTCCCTGACCTCTGAAGCCTTAGGGAACCTGGGTCTTCTTTATCCCCAGACTGTGTCCCCAGGAGATTACTGGTGCACATGAGCCCTCCCTATGAGGAGATGGCTCTGGAACTCCTCATGCTTACCTTCCTGATGTTATCCCTATTCTCTCCCCTCTCTGTTTCCTTAGTTGAGACAATGCTGGAATACACTTTGGTTACTGGGAGCTAGAGGGGTAAAAAGTGCAGGCCACACAGAGAACTGTCACCTGGTCCAGCATCTGCCAAGAGCCAGCAGGGGAGCTTCTCTCTGCTCCTTGCTCCTTCCTGCACCATGATGGGCTCCTGGACCTTGGAATTTTCTGCACCATCCATGTCTTTAATGGACATGGGTCACCTGTGTCCCCCCACTGTTGATGGGTGACCAAAAGCTAGGAACTGTCCTGTCTAGTAGGCAGACAGTGTCTGTCTGGGATGATCAGAAAGCACTTCCAGCAGTCCGTTCAGACAGAATCTCCATCTCTATGTCTGCTCCTCAGGAACTGACAGTGACAGTGAAGTCTGACCCTGAGGGACGTGTAGGCTCAGAATCTGCAAGCCTGGCCCTGGCTTGGCCTAGGGCCGGTGCAGAAAGGAAACAAAAAAGAGGCTAAGCAGGCCAGGCCCAGCTGTCCTGTCAGGGGCTGAGCTCTCTTCGGTGTGGGTCCTGCAAAGACAGTCTCAGGGTGGGGAGGCCCAGGGTCATGTGGAAAAGAAAACCAAAGTGAGCCTGGGGAGTCAAAGGAAGGGTGTGGGGCAGATGTGGTAACGGGAATAAAGCATGAAAAAAAGATTGTCTTTTGTGACACTTAGTGAGAGGACACATGGGGACTAGAGCTGTGACAAAGAGGAGACCTGGCAGGTCCTGAGCTCTTGAAGACGACCAGTGCCTGCAGATTTGAATACCAGGCACAGGGAGAAGCCGAGGGTCCCTCCATTCACCTTTCCTGCAGCCCAACAGTCCCAACAACAAATGGTCCACCCCGCTTCCTGCTAAATTAAAACAGTGAGTCAGTGAATACAGAGGAAACTTCTGTCTAAATTGTAGACAAAGTATTTGAAAGCTAAGATATAATCCTGGTGTGAAATGTATCAAACACATATTCAGGAGACTACAAACATAGAAAGACAAAGATCCCTTAGAAAATAAAAAAAAAAAAAACCCAACTACTTTTTGTTAGTGAATATTAAGCCTACTACATCTGTTGCTTTTTCACAAATACTGAACCATATCTAAGCCTTATCAAAATTCTAAAAGAATCACATGACCTGGAGGTTTTTATGGAATATTTGCTGCAGTCTCATTTTATAAAAGGGCTGCTAGGATTATTTCCTAGGAAATCCCCTCCCTGCCCTATTCCGTGGACAGCCCCTACACATGCTCAAAACCATCTCAACTATGACAGCATCTGTGATGCTCGGCCTGGTGGTACATGTGAGTCATTAAGCTTTTTCTACTCTGGTAGTGCAGATACCTCTAAAAAGCTGTACATGTAAATATTTGCACCTCCTATCAGCCGTTATTCCTCCTGGGAGTGAGAAATTACATCAGTAAGCACAACAGTTCAGAATCATACAACTTAGGGTTCAGCTGATAGGTCTGTGGACAGACAGTGACTAGGGAGCTACAGAGACCAGCTGAGCCCTCAGGTGTCTGGACAATGGGGAGGTGTGTGCCCAGATGAGCAGGCAGTGCTGGGGGACTGCCTTGTGGTCCCTATACACCTGCTCAGGGAGGACAGTCCCTCCAAGGAGCCTGGGCCTCAGGGCTGGGCCTGTGCTCACTGATGGAGACTCAGCAGCTGTGTCCTCTCTGTCCTGGCACAGTCTCCTGGGTATGGACCTTTGTATGGTCTCAGCAGGTGCTTCCTCCATGGGCTCCCCCAAGGGGCAAAGCAAACCACCCCCCCCTCAGTCTGCAGGGAGAGCTGAGCCCCAGCCCAGGGTCAGGGAGGGGCTGGGCAGACCCTGAGTGGAAACACATTTGCATGAGCAGCCCCTCCTGTGCAGAGGCTGGGGAGAAAAGGGGGCCTGGGGCAGCCCAGCCCTGCTGTGGGGACCAGGGCTGTGTCCACCATGGCCTGGGTTGAACAGTCAGGAGAAAATAGTGCTGAAGGCCACTGAGGATAAGGGGAAATGGGTCTCCATGCATGGCTGCTGGGAGTCAAGTCACTATTGTCATACAGGATGAGAGGCGTGAGGATTCAGGAGCATTTCAGATGGAAAGCAGACTGCAGGGGACTCATTTCCAATATGATTTGATGATGGTAAAATCTGAAACTAAGTTCTTACAAAGGGGAATGCATCCCGTTTCTCTGTAGACAGGAAAAATGAAAATTAATTCAGAAACAGTGAACCAAAAGCAGGGACTATTTCAGATCTATTGACAAAACCTCTAGAAGGCCCCATAATACAAAAGCGAAAATGTCTTGGATACAATAAGAAATCACCTGTCATATTATGAACCAAAACACCACAACGTGGATGGAGAAAAGACTGTACATGACACTGACACTGAGATGATCTAGGTGGTGAAATGGTACGGCAGATGTGTCTAAGTCAGCAATCAGGACATCCCTTGGATCAGAGACTTTAGATGTTCTTGAAACAAAAGGGAAAGGAGAAAATTTCTAAAAAAATTAGAATCATGTAAAAAAAAACTAATGGAAATTATAGAAAAAATACAATTTTTAAAATGAACTTAAAAAAAGAAAAAGAAAAAAAGAACTCTTCGGAGAGACCCAGAACAAGTGACAAGGAAACTAAAATTCAGCCAGTGGAGAAGCTATTTCACGTGACTGGAGAACAAAGTAGGTACAATAGTTGCTTCAGCCCAGCAGGGGGAGCTGTGGGTCCTCTCAGGGCTGAGCCAGGGCTGAAACTAAAATGGTTCAAATGTAATGGTCCCGGGGTCCGAGCTCACGGTCCTGAGTTAGAGGGGACAGCAGGTGCTTCCTCTCAAGAAGCAATTCAAAGCTCACACCAGCCCAGCCTCCCTGACAGAGGAGCTGCCCCTGGGTCAAGGACACAGAATCAGATGGTGCTGGGGGTGTTGGAGAAGGGCTCATCTTTGCATAATGTACAACCCACACACACCCTCCCAGGGAGGAGGTCAGGGAGCTGGGAATGTGACAAAGGCCCATGCACCCAACCTGCTATGCATCTGGAAGGTTTTTGGAAAGGCCACACTATGGCCTGGATGCCAAGGAACAGAAAGATTTCAGAGACCAGCCTGGGAAGG